ACTTTTTTTCTCTCTCTCTTTCTACTTTCTCTTTCTCTCTCTCTCTCTCTCTTTCTCTCTCTCTCTCTCTCTCTTTCTCTCTTGATCTTACATAAGAACAGTTCATAAATTTAATCATATTTTTTGTGTAAATCGTTTATTTCAGAAGAAAACTGAAAACAAGAACAAAAGATCGATGAAATTGTTACATCTGTTGTTAAAGTACTGCACCGACAGTTCAAAATGCTGGCGCGAAGGATTACTACGCGCTGCAAGCGTCGAAAGATCATTCTTCGATAGGTTGGAATCTCTCAAAGATAAACAAACTTCTGTTTTGAACGTTGGTGATGATGTTTGTGAGGATGGTCATGGTGATGGTGATGATGGTGGTGGTGATGATGATGATGGTGGTGGTGGTGATAATAGTGATGGTAGTGGTGATGATGGTGGTGATGATGATGGAGGTGGTGGTGATGATGATGGTGATGGTGGGGATGATGATGATGATTATGATGTTTGTGAGGGTGATAGTGATGATGGCGATGATGGTAAAAATGATAACAATGATCAGTTTATCAACTTATCAATCGACCAATGAAACAATTTCTTATGAATCAACCAGCCAATAAACTACATCCAAACTGTATGTATTGACCAATCAAATGTTTCTTAACAAATAAATCGCCTAATGCACCTACCAATCAAATAACTTCAACAAACTAATCAACCAATCCAATAATTTCTAATTGATCAAACACCAACCAAATAATTTCTATTTAATCAGACAGCCAATCAAATAATTTCTCACAAGTTACTCAACCAATCAATTCAGTCGAAAGAGAGCCAGCTAAAAATAGCCGTAGATAGACTGAGGCAATGCAGTGATGAGAAAACAATGAGAGAGATCATGATGATAAAGGAGATCATCCCAAAGCTGGAAGATATGAAGTTATGGTGAGGGGAAAATGATGAAGAAGATGAGAATGAGGGTGATGATGACGATGGTGTTTAAGCCTTCAACGAAACGCAGATTGCTAAATAAAAACTTTTAACTTGCTAATGTTTTCATTATTACTTTATCTTCCTATCTCTATCATCATCATTATCGTTATGACGTCACCATCATCACCATCATCACCATCATCAGTTACAAGTCGAATGCAGACGAGCAGCGCAGCTACATCGAGGGGTACTATGACATAATGAAAAGAGAAAATGACGTCATCATTAAAAATATTCTCCAGTTCTTAAATGTTGAAAAGGTTAGGGTTCAATGGTAGTAATGAAAATGGTATAGTAGCGATTGTAGTAATATTAATAGTAATAGTGGTTGTGAGTAGTAGTAGTAGTAGTAGTAGTAGTAGTAGTAGTAGTAGTAGTAGTAGTGGTAGTAGTAGTAGTAGTAGTGGTAGTAGTAGTGGTAGTAGTAGTATTAGTAGTGATAGTAGTAGTAGTGGTAGTGGTAGTAGTAGTAATAGTAGTAGTAGTAGTAGTAGTGGTAGTAGTAGTAGTAGTAGTAGTAGTAGTAGTAGTAGTAGTAGTGGTAGTAGTAGTAGTAGTAGTGGTAGTGGTAGTAGTAGTAGTAGTAGTAGTGGTAGTAGTAATAGTAGTAGTAGTAGTGGTGGTAGTAGTAGTAGTAGTAGTAGTAATGGTGGCAGCCACAAAAGCTATGACATAAATATTACTTTTCTTAATGCAGGTTCATCAAGAACTTCCGCACTTTGATCAAGACCATCATAAAACTACTACTACTACTACTACTGCTACTACTAGTACTACTGCTGCTGCTGCACTTACTACTACTACTACCGCAACAGCAACAACAACAAAATTACCATCGCCATACGCTTATATTAATAATGTGAATCGCTTTGCTCTCAAATTGAAAAAAGTTGGAAAAGCTAAAAATGTTTCTGGCGATCTTGATAATGATGACGATAAGGAGAAGGGTGACAAAAATGATGATGGTGATAAAGAAAAAGTTATTTATGGTGTCGGTGATGATGATGATAGTGGTGATGATGATGATGACGATTTCTCATGTGAGGATGACGATGATGATGATGTCGTTTACTCGTCAAGTGATCCGTGCCCCACTGACGATGACGATGATGATGACGATGATGATGACGATGGTAATCGTAACGACGATGATGATGTTGTTGACGATGACCAAGATGATGGCGAACGGATGAAAAATCTCAACGCCTACAAGGCTGTAGATAAAAATAGCAACGGCTTGAACGGTGGAAAAACTGATATTGAAACAAGACTGAAAAACGAAACTGAAAGAACAAAAAATAGTAATCATAATAACATAAACAACAATAACAACAACAACGTCAATCAAACAACAACAGAAACAAAGTACATCAACAAAAGTGCAAACAGCTCAGACGACAAAAGATCGAACCTCAACAAAAACCCACTCACCAACAGCCCCTTTCCAATTGTCACCGACCGTAAACGAACCTTGGAAGGCATTCTGGGCACCAAACACAAACTCGCCATGATCGATACAGTCGATAATGTCGGTAAGTTATTAGTATCCGGATCGTCGAACTCGTCCGAGTCGGTACCATCGGTTATATCGAGCCGGAAAATATCGAAATCTAGCCCGACACTTCGTTTGAGTACTGGGGGTAATTTCGGTGGTGGCGTTGATTCTGATGAAAATGATGAAGAGGTGATGGTGAAAGATGCAAAGAAAAAAAAGTATGGGTATTTCAGTATGGTGAGATGCTATTTGAAAGATTACAGAAAGATGGTGGAGGTGAGGATGGCTGACGTTCTGTCGGTTCAACACGCGTCGGTATTTCATTCGCTTCTTCGTTTGTATGTTTTGATTAATGGAAATATTTTCTTTTGTTTTAGTAAATTAATTTAATAAATTGTAAATATTAAAGTGTTTTTTTTCTTTGCTCTCCTGATAGTTAATTATTATTGTTATTGTCAAACGAACGTCGCTAATAGATTCCTATGTAAGGTGTTGGATCATGTTTCACGCTACGATAGGAACATCAGTGACAACTGCCAGATTGTAATTAATTCTAAGGTTATAATTAATTTTTTTATTATTATTAATTAATTAGTTAATTAATTGATTGATCAATTAATTGTGTAATCGAATAGTTGGATGTAGTGGAAAAAGAGTTGGAGTTACTGTTAAACGCGCATCCAACTAAGCTTGAATACATCAAATGCCATGTCTACAATGTTAGATTAGGTTGGTCGGTTGGTTGGTCGGTTGGTTGGTTGGTTGGTTGGTTGGTTGGATGGTTGGTTGGTTGGTTGATTGGTGGGTTGGTTGGTTGGTTGGTTGGTTGGTTGGTTGGTTGGTCGGTCGGTCGGTCGGTCGGTCGGTTGGTTGGTTGATTAGTTGGTTGGTTGGTTGGTTGATTAGTTGGTTATGTTAATCGACTAATTGTTTAGTTGATTGTATGGCATTAAGCACAGCAACAACAATCGCAACAACAATCACAACAACACAACAGACGAGTTGAAGCTGCATAGAGACAGACTGCAGAGCCACCAGACTGCGGTCGACCAGCGAATCATCGACATGAAAAACAGTTTGCAACGAATTGTTAACGCTCATGATCGCTTATTTGAGGAGTTTCAACAAACTTTGCAACGGTTGCAGAGACAAGCTGATGCTGCTAAACACTCCTCCATGTTCGTTCGTTCGTTCGTTCGTTCGTTTGCTTGTTTGTTTGTTTGAAGTTTTGTTTGTCATCCGATTCATTATCATCTTCACGTTTATTACCATCACAGTTATCATCATCATCAATATCCACATCACAACCAGCCTTCAAAAGTACATTGACAAATGCAAGAATCATCAGCGATCGAACCTGGAGACGATGAAAGAGGAGATTCGCTGCTACGTTGCCGCCTTAGACGACGAGGTCGTCAAACTCAATCGATCCAATGATACGTTCCGCAGATCTTTCAAGTTTGTCCTTGTTGGATCATTATCATCATCGCAGTGGTTAACTCATCATCTCCACCATCATCATCTCCACCATCATCATCTCCACCATCATCATCTCCACCATCATCATCTCCACCATCATCATCTCAACCATCATCATCTCCACCATTACGTTTGTTTCAATCATCGCTATCACCACCCCCACCGACGAAAGATTATTTATAGATGGCGGTAACTACTGCACGGGCGAGGTGCAAGCGTGCAGCAAAGACCTCGGCCTAATTAGTGGAAGGGTGGACGGTTTGGTGAACGTCGTAATGAAGGAGGTCGAAGTTATGGAAGCCTACAGGTGCCAGCAGTCATTCAAGTGTCTCGTCGAGTTCGAGGCCAGGTTGTGGTGATGATGGTGGTGATGATGGTAATGGTGATGATGATGATGACGATGAGGATTGTGGTTGTGAAGATGGTGATAATGATTACGATGATGACGTTGATGATGATGATAATGATGATGATGACGATGATGATGATGATGGTGGTGATGATGAGGGTGGTGACGATGATGATGATGATGATGAGAGATTTTGACGGCGATGTTTGATGAAAATGATACTGATAACATCCGTAACATGCCCTGATCATAATTATCATACAATAATAATAAAAAAATTTATTCGTATTAAATTATGCTAATTGGGTGTATTCGTAATAAATTATGTTAATTAGGTACAAACCTAAACTGGCCGACTTACAATTTGTAGAAAATTGTGAAAGAATGTTTCAGCAACTGAGATCGAAGATTAACAAAGAGATTTCAACGAACAAAGAACAATGTTTAGAGCTTCATAAATCTTTGATGGAATTTAAGGGATTGATCGATAGCTGTGTTGATGGTTCCGTAATTAATGATGTAGGTGGCTGGTTTTTCATTCATTCACTTGTCTATTCATCCGTTCATTCATTCGTTTATTCGTTCGTTCGTTCGTACGTTTGTTGTTCGTTCGTTCCTCGGTTCGTTGTTCGTTCTTTTTTTACGTTTGTTTGTTGTTCGTTCGTTTGCACGTTAACTAATTACTTAATTAATTAATTAAATCATTCATTCATTCATTCATTCATTTTTTTTCTAGAATGAAAGAATCCTAACAATGTTGCAAAAAATGATTCACGTCAACACACGTTTGGAGAGACGCGCGAGATACTTGGCATCCCAAACCAGCCATCCTGCGCTTCAAACTAACAGGGACGATACAAATTTGGATATCATCCATCAAAGTTATTTCTACGTGGATGGATGAATGGAATGAATGGATAGATAAATGAATGAATGAATGAATGAATGAATGAATGAATGAATGAATGAATGAATGAATGAATGAATGAATGAATGAATGAATGAATGAATGAATGAATGAATGAATGAATGAATGAATGAATGAATGAATGAATGAATGAATGAATGAATGAATGAATGAATGAATGAATGAATGAATGAATGAATGAATGAATGAATGAATGAATGAATGAATGAATGAATGAATGAATGAATGAATGAATGAATGAATGAATGAATGAATGAATGAATGAATGAATGAATGAATGAATGAATGAATGAATGAATGAATGAATGAATGAATGAATGAATGAATGAATGAATGAATGAATGAATGAATGAATGAATGAATGAATGAATGAATGAATGAATGAGTAGTTCCTAAGATTTAATGACTACTGAAATAAATGTTTGAATAAATGGATGGATGGAATGACATAAAAAAAGATCGATCGATTGAATTATTTTTAAAATGAATGAAAAAACCATACAATTAACCACATTTTAGGACCATCTGACACCCACCAATCAGCTTTGAGGATAAGTAAACCCGGAAATCTGGCAACCAATGAGGATGCGCTTGTAAACGTTATCAGGAATTTATATGGGTTAGTGATAGAATGCTACTGCTTTGTATAATTGCGTTCTTTCTGTCAATCATTCATTTATTCGTTCGTTCATTCATTCATTCGTTCATTCATTCATTCATTCATTCGTTCAGTTAATTCATAATTCATTATTTCATTTATTCTGCTAATCTATAATTCATTGGTTCGTTCGTTCGTTTGTTCGTTCGTTCATCCATCTGTTCATTGTCTTATAAGTACTGCAACTTTTCCCACTATTCAGAGTAAATATTGAAGAGGAATACGATAGAAAATTATCCTCTAAAACTAAAAGTATATTATTATTATTAATATTATTATTATTAATTATATATAATCTTTCATAATTTTAAAATGTTTTAATTTATATAGCGCCAGATTCATCAAAATCAATCAAGTCCACCGAAAGAACTGACACAAAATCAAAAAAGAAATATCAAACCAGAGATAAAATAACGTCGACGGCTACTGCAGCAGCTGTTGCAGTTACCACCGCAGCGACTGTAACAACTACTAATGCAGCCTCAACAGCTACTACAACAGCTTCTATTAATGGTAATGGTAACACATTGAGCGGAATTGTCCTAGAGCATGTTGGATTCTTTAGGAATAAAATAATGGCTTTAGCTGAGGTTGGATCTGACGGGAGTGGTGCTTTGAGTTGTTTTTATATCTACCTAACTTATTTTTATTTACCTTAGTAATTATTAATAATGTTATTACGTTAAACAAAGGCGAAGTCCCTGTGCCTTCTCAAAACTAAAACAATTTTAAAACAATAAATTAAATAAACCTATACTGAATAAAATAATTAATGTTCTTTTAAGTCAAATAATGTATTAAACCTTGTAAAAAAAGATAATGAAAAACAAATATAAATATAAGTTATTTATTTATTCGTTTGTTTATTTATTTACATATTTATTTATCTACTCCTTTTATTTATTTACTAGAAAATTATAAGAAATCTTATAATAGCGTCTTAAACAGGGGTTGGTGGCAAACTAAATTAAAGTTATTTATATAAAATAATAATTATAATAATTATAATAATTATAATAATATAAATAATTATTTATTTAGGCTTATTACAAGAGCAAGGGTAGACGACAGGTCAGTGACCTTTGCACCATTAAGAATACTTTCGATGACTTCAAGGTTCACACGGAGGTCAACCAAATTGAAAAGGTCATGAATGATGTCACAGAATGTAGGGAAACATCGATAAAAGGTTGTGTATCAATCAAGTAATTAGTCAATCAGTCAATCAATCAATCAATTATTCAACCAATCAATCAATCAAAGAAGCCAATGGTATAAGGCAAATTTATAAGAATTCAACTATTTTTAAACAAATTTAACTCTATAAAATTGCTTAAAATTTATAAAAATGAAGCTAATCAAAATTGTTCAATTGCATTTATTAATTATTATTTATTAATATTGTTATTTTATATTATCCACCAGAATTCGAATCTCAGTGTACGCAAATGATGTCAACGTGCGTCAATATGGCCGAATGTTTCCTAAATGACCTCTACAAGGTCACAATGTCAACGTTCAATGAGAAATATTTGAGTCAGGTCAAGGAAGTTCAAGAGTTCAAGGCCGAATCTGTAAAAGAAAGGGTTGGTTAATTGGATGAGTATGAAACTGTTAAAAAACTGTTTACAATTAAAGTTATTTTCATGATTGTTATTAATGTTTTTATTATTATTTTTATTAGTGCCAGCACGAATTGGATCTCCGCCCGACACTGGGACATCCTCAAAATGGAGAAAAGCTTTTCCGGTTGGTACAGAAAGAGAGGTTCCGGAACAACAATGCTAATAAGTTCTACCGGAAGATGATTAACAATATCAGGGTTGGTTCATTCGCTCGTTCATTCATTCATTCGCTCATTCATTTGTTCATTCTTTTGGTCATTCATTCATTCATCTATATTCTTCAACCCATGCACTAATCAGGATAGCACAAGAGAATTTAGTGATCAGTTCATCGTACAACTGACGGCATTTGTTCAAAACCTTTTCAACGAATTCGATAAATTATTCGAAGTTAATGATACCAGTAAGAGTGATGATGATAATGATGGTTATGGTGACGATGATGGTGATGATGATGGTGATGATGATGGTGATGATGATAATATTTTTTTTTCAATTTAAAAGGCAACGAAGAAGCAATGCACGATTGGACCGGTGAGTTAATAATCGTTATCGTCATTATTGTGAACGAATGAATGAGTGAATGAATGAATGAATGAATGAATGGATGAGTGAATGAATGAGCGAGTGAATGAGTGAATGAATGAGTGAATGAATGAGTGAATGAATGAGTGAACGAATGATTCCAGGATTCAGTCGCATTCTTCTCGGCGCCAGCATCATGCAATCAGTAAAGGCTCACCTTGACAGTCCCACAAATCGGAAATCATCATCATCACCATCACCCACTGATGATGGTGATGATGATAATGATGTTGTCGCTGCTGATAATGATGCTGTTTTTGTCGGTGATGATGACGTCGTTGATGGTGACGCTAATAACAGCAACATTAGAGCGGTTATCAACAAGTCAGTTAATGGAGTTAGTTTTTTTTTTGCAAGGTTTACCCAATCTCCATCATCATCATATTACTATCACTTATGACGTCATCATCATCACGTGGTACGTCATCATCATCACGTGACACATAATCGTTACCACTACCACAACCACGTCTCATAGCGACGTTCGTCGACGTCATCCCGCTACTTAGAGCCATCATCATCACCTCACACATCATCATCATCACTATCACGCAAAGTACCATCATCATCATCACGTGGCCACTCATAATCACGTCATCATCATCATCATCACTTGACCACTCATAATCACGTCATCATCGTGACAGTACAACTTCGGGAAGAAAGCATCGGCCGCTTCCATGAACAACATCTACTTCGGTGTCGACGACGACGAGGAGGAGGAGGAGGACGCCACACACGGCGACAAGGAGTCCCACAGTATGAAGCAGAGAATAACTATCGCGGGAGTGGAAAATCCTCCGGCGAAAAGACAAACGGAAGTGGATTGGTGGAAGGCTGTCCAGTTGAAGTCGCGGAAACGAACACCTGCTCATCAGCGCTGCTACCAAAGTTCTCTTAACGTCATCGAAGTTAGTTCATAATAATAATAATAATAATAACAATAATAATAATAATTATTATTATTATTATCATACTAACCAACAAATTATAGCGTTGACTTGTGATGTCTTAAGAGTGACGTAATGAGCCAGAAATCTTGGATAACATAGTGCAAACGAATGAGTGAATGAATGAATGAATAAATGAATGAATGGATGAATGAATAAATGAATGGATGAATGAATGAATCAATCAATCCATCAATTAAACGAATGAATGAATGAACGAACGAACAAATGAACGACTGAAGGAACCAGATCATAATTTTTTACGATTTTAAGAAAATCAGTAGAGACGTGAACGAGAAACTAGTAGAGCTGCAGAGTATGGAGACCTGCCTCTACTGCGATCAAAAAATTTTCACCAAAAAATGGCTGGCTTCTGTCTCAAGCATAAAGAAACTATATGATAAATAATTTTATTTATTTATTTATTATTTAATTAAAATCAATTAATTAATGTTGCAGTTATTAATATGTCATATATTATATACACTGTATGTATTTTGTTGAATAAAAGATTTTTGAATTTGAATTTTTTGAATACATATATAATTTCATTCGTATGCTTGATTTCGTACAAAATTTGTACATGTACAGTCAGCTAATGATAAAAACATCTGTGGTGACATTGTTAACTTAGTCTTTAACTGACACTATTATTAATAGTTAATTAATCATAAATAATTAATTTCAATTTAATAACTCGTTTTGTTTATAATTAATTTAAATTAAATAATCCGTCATATTTACGGTAGAATTATCTTCTAAAATTCTTCGCTCTACTCCTCCCGAGTAAACGAATTCTGCACTTCCAGCTGGACCCTTTCACTACAAGCGGAGAGCCAAAATCTTTCAAAGGAATTCCTACACGCATTCAACTCTTCAGTTACGTAGACCTCGTACAGTAGGAACTTCAACCACATTGAACAGTACCCATCGAGTTTGAAGATGGTCAAACATTTCAGAATTCTAGTGATCCTCAGGAAGTTGTGGGGCTGGCTGTGTGGGGTGGGCAATAATAATAATAATATAATCATAATAAGAAGAAGAAAAAGTAGAAAAAGAAGAAGAAGAAGAAAAAGAAGAAGAAGAAAAAGAAGAAGAAGAAGAAGGAGAAGAAAAAGAAGAAGAAGAAGAAGAAGGAAGAAGAAGAAAAAAAAGAAATAGAAGATTTACTCGATGAGATTTCTATAAGCGTTTTTATAGTGGCCCGCCCTTTCGATGTATCCATTACTAATCACCATGCCATAGAAGTCCAGCATCATCTTGAAGGATTTTACAATCCGACCAATCACCTCTTCGTCATTTATCATTTCCTGTGACGTCATTATTGTTGTTGTCATTATTAGTATGAATGAATTTATGATAAAATTATTTGAGAAAACAATTGGTATAAAATCACTTGCAGTTATTTCCGATTTTGTTAGAGGCGTTGATTCTGCATTAATTCCTTGTTCCATAATCGGAAAAAGCCTGTTTGCGTGTGTGTGTGCGTGTGTGTGTGTGCGTGTGTATGTATGTGTGTGCGTGTGCGTGTGTAATACTCACCATTGGATGTAGCCATGGTTACGCTCAAGCCTCTCCATGTCACCAAACCAAAAATTATGGATATTATCTATGAAGTCACCTGAATAAAATTTTATATGGTAAAAATGAAAATTGTGTGTGTGTGTATGTGTGCGTGTACGCGCGCGCGTGTGTGTATGTGTGTGTTTGTAATAAATATCTGTTATTGTATAGCTGTATTTATATTAGACATAACTTAACTCAAATATTGATGCATATTGAGTATAAACTTTAATTATTCATCTATATATATATAATTTTGAATTCCTAACCTAGCTAGGTAGAAAACATGAAGTGTAAAGTAAAACAAGTAAATGAGGTGGATTTAAATATTTAAAAAAAATATATAAATGAAAAATTGGGTCAATAAAGTTAACTAACCTTTGGGTCTTGAAATTATTTGATTCGTGTGGAATAGGTAGTTATCTCCGTGCTCTACTTTTTTGAGGCTTAAATGAGAGGAGAAGCATGACTTGCATGAAATTGATTGGAAAAAAAAATTTTAATTTAACTTCAAAAAATTAAAAAGTTTTATTAAAAATATAAAATTAGGTGACTAATATAATAAAATAAATTTTAAAATACTAACAACTATGACAGCCCACAAGTCTCTGAAGCAATCGCAATACCAGAAACACATTGTATCAAAATTAAATTTACAAATTTTGAAAAATAAAATGATCTGTCTGGGTTTGTTTTTCTGGCCTTTCTTACTATTTGAAATTTAGTTAGAAATTCTTTCCGTTTATAAAACTTTTTAGAAAAATAATTCAATCTCTTATTTAAAAGGCAAACGTACGTATTGATATTAGTATTATTATTATATAACAACTTTTTATTTTTAAAAAACAGTTATTAAAGTACAAAAAGACAGAAATAAAACTAAAAAGTAAAGGTATAAAAACAGTATCAAAACAGGCAACAAGAATGAAGATTGTTTAAGTTTGTTTAAAAAATTATCAACTTGTTTTCAGTAAAATTTACACTTAATATATTCAATTATTCAAACTATTTGTATATTTCGTTCTGGTACATACATACAACGAAATATCACTTTCGGTTGAAATTTTTATAGGGTTTTTCCAATAGCCAAAATTATTTAAATAGTACCATTGAATTGTAAGCTCAGACTCAAGCTTATCATGAAATTTACACGTTAATGTACATTCTATAATATTTTAAACTAAATATAATATTATTATAATTTTTATTAAATATTTTGCAAACTGTTGTAATTGTAAATTTTATAAAATACTAAATTAAAAATTGTTTTTAAAATAACTTAACTTTTAGTAACAGGTGTTCGTAACTATAGTTACGATGTAACCAAAATTAAAATTACGAGCAGGTGTTTGTCCTCAAACATTGAAAACTGTAATAAAATGTACACAACTACTTTAATACTAATTAATTATTAGTAATATTATGATTAAAATAATATTATTATAATTAAATATGGTTGAGTTCGATGAATTTGGCAATGAATTAGAACCTCAGGTTCTATCTAAAGAGGAGAATGACTTTCTGCAAGATGAATGTGTGACTAGTCTCAAGCAAAAATTATTAGATATCAAAGAATCTAAAAAGATCAAACCCAATAATCAGTAAAAAATCAATTTATGGTTTTTATTATTAATAGTTGTAATATTAATTGAAGTAAAAACAGTAGAAGCAGTAGCAGCAGTAGCAGTAGTGTTTCAATCGACAATCATTATCTTACTTATTTAATTTATTACTTTTTCAAAGCCCTATGAACCTAAAATTAGTGAGAAGCAAACTGGCCCCAATCGTACACATTCAGAACATGAAAATGGAACATTTGAAGAGACAAATAAATGAAAATAACAGTTTAGTAGAAATGATTAGAAGAACAGTTAAAAAACAAAACAGTTTTGAAGTTGATGAGGATGGCTGGTATCTACAAGATAATGCCGACGAACTAATTGGTAAAATAAATTTTGGGATGTTTTTCATGATTCTATTGTAATATTTATTTATGGCCAAATAAATGTTCGTATAATTTACTTTGTGTCATATTATTTGCGTTAGTTATTTTTCTTTTTTTGATTTTGATAACATTGATGAAAATTGTTTTTTGAAAATTAATCTAATTCAATTTTCTGTCGAATTTTCAATAGAGGATTTACAAGACTTGAAAGATGAGGGCGTATTAAATCCGAAACTTTCAGGGAACGTGTTAAAAGTCAGCAAATATTTCCCCAAACGACCTTAATTTCAACTTTACCAAAGAAAAAATAACTTTTATTAATGATATTTTAATTAATTACGTAAATAATTACAAATTATATTAATAAAGGAACATATTTTTATCAGACGGTTACTGATATTTTTAGTGAATACGCGAGCATTAGCAATGAGAAAGAGTTTATTTGCTCTAGATGCAAAAGGCGAGTAGTAACTTTTCAATTTGTCAAATTTATTGTCGAATGGTCAATAATTTATTCAGTATTTATTTATTAATTAATTCATTTATTTATTCATTCTTATAATTAAATTTTATTTTAATTCCTCATAATTCTCTGTTTTCATAATATTGTTACATTTGTCACCATTCTCCGCAGGCTTATAAAGAATGGAGGCGGTAGGCATTTTTTGTTTGACAAAAAAAAACAATACATTCATATTTCTAAACTAATGAGTTTGTTGTTGCAGATGGAAGTGATGTTACGTCGAAACCGACAAAAAATCGACCGATAGATCCGAATTCGAATGCCGAAAGTCCGACTGCGAGTAGTGTCGATACATTCCCATTCTATAAAGGCCGGTTTTTCAATAGATATATTGTTGGTTTTTTTTCAAATAAGCCAAAAATAAATAACTTTGTCTTTCATTTTATTTTGTTTATGTTTGGTTGTTATGTTGATTTGTTGTTAAAGAGGTATTTGTTGTTGTTTATGTGGCTCATGTTTTATGTCATGTAACTCTTGGTGTTTTTTAATCTGTTGTTGATGTTTTCCTTAAATTGTTTTCATACCACAGATCTAACGAACGAAATAGGCAGAAATATATTTCTGTTACGGTCGCAAAGATCACCAAAAAATCGACACAGTAGTCGTACGAGTAGCAATAGTAGCATCGCTACTCTCGTGGGATCGCCTAAAAGTAAAACATCGTCAGTATTGATGTCACACAGAAAAGTCACAACTACTGACGCACCAAAAACATCGTCCATATTACTATCCAATGGAGAAGTTACTAACACTGGCGCTGTACCCAGAAGTAACTCATCATCGGTATTTATAACCGACAGAAAGATAGCTTCGACTCTTACTGATACTGTACCTAAAAGTAACACAACATCGGTATCAATAACCGATAGAAAAGTTACGAATACTAGCAGAACCGCACTTAAGACATCGTCGGTATTGTTAACCGACAGACGAGAAACTACTGCTTTTACAGTTGATGCAGAGATGGATGTGCATGATCGAGATTCGGATACCGATCTTGAAAGTGCATCCCAAGTTTCAGGACCGGTAATTATGAATAATTATTATAAAAGTCAATAATTATAATAATGAAAATAATGATAAATAATTTCAAGGTATTATTGTTATTATTGTTATTTTTTTATTGCAGCGAAGAATGACGTGGAGAAAGGAATAATATAGATAAATAAAAATAATAATAATAGCAATAATAATAATAATAATAATTTATTATTAATTTTAATTATTTTATTTGTTAATTGTATGACGATTTAAATAATTGTGAACTTTTTATGTTTTATAGTGCTGGTTTTGTTTTATTCGTTCGTTCGTTCATTCATTTATTGTTCATTCATTCATTCATTCATTCATTCATTCATTCATCCAGTCATTCATTCATTCTTTCATTGTTACTTAATCCTTTGCAACGTGCAATCAATTGGAGATAACCTAGTTCTCCAAGATTCAAATTAGTAAAAATAAATGCACCTTAACGGCAAAACAAAACAACAGTGACATTTACAAACAGACATCTACACACACGCACGCACACGCGCACACACTCACGCACATGCACATACACTGCCTAATAGCTTCAACACCTCTCAACACACAACAAACAAACAACCTTAGAAGCGATAATAAAATAAATAATTACCCAAGCCTACATGCATTAAATTTTGGATGTCTTTTTATATAGCACCATGGCAAGCGACTGAGACGCATTATCATTATTACGACAAACACACGGTGCATAAATACACACGTGAATCAACTCACCACACACTTTTGCATGTGATAGGCGGGGATCTTTTTGCATTCGAGCCCGGACACTGCTTGAACAATGTCAGGCACTTTAGCCATTACACCATCGTCGTCATCACGGTCGTAATTATCATCCCATATATATATAAATGTATGTGATGATCTGATTGTAACATCACGTTATGCTCCGACAAACACAACGTAAGCTAAGTTAATGAAAATTGTAACTCTAATTACGACAATTACGATGCTTTCGACGATGATCACTATGATTACAATGACAACAATTTTCACAACGAGGGCCGGATTTAGAGTTGTCTGAGAAGCCCTGGACGATGACGGAGTGAATGGTGGTCCCATAATCACCTAGTTAATTAGTTATTGCCTTTAAGGTCAAAAGATCAAATATTAGTACTAGTAGTAGTAGTAGTAGTAGTAGTATAGCAGTTGTAGTAGTAGTAGTAGTCACAGCAGCAGTATTAGTAGTAGTAGTAGTATTTCTTCGCAATTATTCTTCATTTCACAACAAACAACGACAATAATATAACACAACAATAACAATAATAACATCAACAATAACAATAATAACATCAACAATAACCGCTACACATTTGAAGCTTTAGGTGCATGTTTGTACAAAGGTACCTCAAACAACCTGTGTTAAGTACCTTATAGTGAATGGTTGACACTTATGCAAGTTTAATGCAATGCCAGTTGCGACTAATGTTAGTAAATAAGTTATTAAATTATTTATTTATTTATTTATTATTATTATGTGTGTGTGTGTGCGTGTATGTGTGTGTTTGCAAGCGTTATTAGCTTCAAGAGGGAAAAAAAAAGTCTCGTCAAGGTGTTAATATATAGGCCACTATAAAAACAACAATAATAGTAATAATAATAATAACTTTACAATCATTATCTTATTAATATTTTTCAGTATTACTTTTAGTATAACTGTCATTGGAAGTTCAATTAAGTATATAAATAGTTGGCTAATTATCTCTAATTAACTAATTTTCGATTGGTATGTGTGTGTGAATGTATGTACGTATGTATGTAGGTTTTTTTTGTCTGTCTGTCTGTTGGTTTGTTTGTATGTATGTTTGTTTGTACTTACGTATGTATGTATATTTGTATGTTTGTATATATGTCTGCATGTCTATCTGTATATTTTTGTATGTGTGTGCACGACAAATAGTAATTTTATGAATGAATGAGACGGTTATATGAATTGAAATAGGCTTGAATATTAATAATGACTGAGTGATTGTCTGCTGACTCTTTGATAATAGTCGTAATAATAACAATAACAATAATAACTTTCATAATATAATTATAATAATAATAATAACAATTATTATTATTATTATTAATTGCTCTAGTGTAACGTATTAAAAATACCATTGTCAAGTTTTACCTATGTATGAATAGGTAAGGCCATTTCAAACTAGAAATGTAAGTATGAATAAGCCAAAATAATAATAATAATTTAATAATATTAATAATAATAACAATATAATAATAATAATAATTTATAATTATATTATATAAATATCGCGACGTATGAGCATGAGCAACTAAAAGATTTCGTAGCTTTATCTGTCCTGTTTAATGTTTCTTAAACTCAATTTGTATGTATGTTTTGTTTTTGTGTGTGTTCTGTATATATCTATGTATGTGTGTTTTGTATACACGTGTGTGTGTGTGTGCATATGTGTGTATAACAACAATGTTATATGTTAATTTTTATTTAAACAGGAAAAAATGAAACATGAGAATAACGAATTTTTTGCTTTCTTGATTTGGTCAAAACTCTGAAAAACACGTTCAGTTGATAACATTTTATATAAATAACTCATAGATATCGAAAAAGTTACAAATAATTATTGTATTAAAGAATAATCAATTAATCATTTTACTTACTAGTTGATTAATTAATTAATTTTTCAAAGTTTTAATTGATTTATTTTCATAAAAAAATAAAAGACAAAATGATTTTGTGTTTCAACAACCCAGAAAAAAAGCCAACCTCGGAGGAGTATTATCATCATACGGTAAGTAAGAAACCTTATTTCTAATCTTACTTTTACTGATATTGTTACTATATGTTGCTAGTATTTTTATTACTGCATTAAGTAGCAAAGTATTGAATTCGATATTATTTAGAAAGGTTTAAGTATTAGTATTGGCAATATAATCTTTGAGTAATGTTAAAAAGCCTGAGTAGTAGTGGTAGTAGCAGCAGCAGTAGCAGCAGCAGTAGAAGTAATAGTAGTAGTAATAGTAGTAGTAGTAATAGTAGTAGTAGTGCTGGTAGTAGTAACTACTTCAGTAGTGGTAGTAGTAGCAGCAGTTGTAGTAGTAGAAGTAGTAGTTGTAGAAGTAGTAGTAGTGGTAATGAAACAATTTTTTTAAAACAAGTTAATTAATCAATATATGAATAAACAATCGGAAACGCTCACACGCCTACTAGTTAGTAAAATATTAGGTCATTAAGAAGTTATACATCTCCTTGTATGTGTGTATGTATGTGTGTGTATGTATGTATGTTTGTTTGTATGTACGTATATATGTTTGTATGAGTGTATGTAAGTATGTTTTTATATAATTATGTATGTTTGTATTGTGCTGATACATCACCATAGATTTCGTGTTATTCATCTGCATTACTGCATACTGCATTCTTATAAATACACTTACCCACCTACACACACATGTTTATGTGTGCCTGTATGTGTGTATGCGTGTGTTTGTGTGCGTGTGTTTGTGTGCGTGCGTGCGTGTGTGTATGTGTAAATGTAAATAAGCACATGTGTTAATCAACACACAATACGTAAACATGAATTTAGAGCGTGTTATCTATCGGCTCTCTGCTGTTGCTACGAGCCCAATCATATCTCGTCAAGTCGTTTGCATTTTGGTTTATAACTTGAACTATGATTGTGAAAAATGAACGAACGAATAAACGAACGAATGAACAAACGAATAAAAGAACAAACAAATGTATGAATGAATGAAGTAACAAACAAATGAATGAATGAATGAGTGAAGGAATGACTTTATTCCTTCATTATTAACAGCAAGGTCAATCATACGAAGCAGGCTTATGTAATTTTGATCGCAAACAAAAGCAAGAGCTCCTTATGTAAACACGTGGACGCACTCTACACGCACACACACGCACGCACATGCACACACAAACACACACACAAACACACACGCACACATGCACACACGTACGCGTTCATTTGAAACAATTAAACCAAACTTTTGAATGAATGAATGAACGAATGAACGAACGAACAAATGAATGAAGGATTGAATTAATGGATGAGCAATTTTGGACCATTATTTCAATAATCAACCGACCACAAAATGTCATTTAATGTGACGTAATTTAATATGATCACGTGATATACATACATACATACATATATATATATATATATATATATATATATATATATATATATATATGTTTTGGTAACAGACTATTGTTAACGCAACATTTCAAAAATTCAACACTACTTTCAACATTGTTCAACTTTTTAAAAACTTGTTTAAAAAGTTGAACAATGTTGAAAGTAGTGTTGAATTTTTGAAATATATATATGTATATACATATATATGTATACATATATATACATACATACATACATACATTTAATGTTTCAACATATCAACTTGTGTTTTGTCTGTATATACAATACTATACATGCATGTGCGCGCGTATGCGTAATATGACATTCACGTATGTGTGTGGAGTGTGTATGTATAATGTAATATGTATGTGGTATATATATATATATGTAAGTTGTATATATATATATATATATAAATGAACGAGGTCATCTCGCTGTAATTCATTTAACTGAGATTGCATTGGTCGTCACATTTGGGGTATTTTTGGTATTCTTCTTCTTCTTATTATTATTATTATTATTGATTTTATTATTATTATTAATAGTAGTAGTTGTAGTAGTTTATAAATAATAGTAAAAATATTAGCTATTTTTATGGCCATTCATTGTTGTATATGTATGTTTTACTACTTAAATACTTAAATGTATTATACATTTGTGAGTGTGTGCATGTTTGCGCTTGTGTATGCAGGTCTGTGTGTGTGTGCGTGTGTGTGTGCGTCTGCGTGTGTGTGTGTGTTTGTGTAACAGTTATTGAATTATTAGAATGTACGAACTCTGCTTCTAACAGATTCTTTTAGAACGTTCTGCAACTGTTGATGCTTGTAGAAATTTTGAAATTTGTTTCAAAACGACCAAGGGAATTGAACAAAATCTAAACAACAACAACATCAGTAGCAACATTAATAGCAACAACAACAACAACATAAGCAGCTCTGACATCAACAACATTAACAACAGCGTGATTAGCGAGCAGATCATCGCCAGCAAGATCATAGCTAATAACAATAGTAATCGATTCTTTATTAAAGAAAATTTCAACAACACTATCGTCATCATTGTAGATTTGAAAAAGAATAAGATCTGTGACGTCACCACCACCAACAACAACAACAAAATGACCAAAGAACCAGCAAACAACGAACACTACCACAATAACGGCAGTATTCACAAAAACAAACTGTCTTACACACTAACAAACAACAACATCAGCAACAACAACATTAGCAACATCACCACCAACAACAAAAACAACAGTATCAACAACAATAACAGCAACAATAACAACAACAACAACATCAACAACATCAACATCAACAACAACAGTATCAACAACAACAAAGCTCCATTTCTCTTACGTAGTTCCAGTAGCATTGGTAAAATGCTTAACAATGTTGATGGAGATGTAGTCAGAAGCCGTCTACTTATTCAAAATTTTGTAAGTTCATCTTATTTCATTTTATTGTCAGTACCGAAATGTCGGTATCGCTACCCGGCAATTTAAAATTCGATACCGGTATACCGAAATTAATAGCGAGAAACTTAGATTTCAGTTCCCGATACGATGTAATCGAAATCGGAAAACTGAAAATTCGGAACCGATGTATCGGAATCGGTATCGAAAAGATGAAAATTTATCATTAATGATAACAAAAACAAAAATCATAATAATAATAACATCTATAATAATTGTAATAACAATAGCTATAATAATTATAAAAATAACTATTATAAGTTGGCAATAATTATTAATGATACTACCAATAGATAAGCCGGCAGCTGAAAAAATCATCCCAACCGAATAACGAAGGTCATGGTAATCATGATGATAACAAAGATAATGATGTTGTTGTTGTTCGTCGGCCTACGTCATCATTATCGCCATCATCATCGCCTTCATCGTCATCGTCGTCTTCGCCAGGTTTGTTGTTGTTTTGCTGTTGTTGTTGTTATTATTATTATTGTTATTATTATTAATGTTTTAAATTTAAATATAAATATGTATATTTTTACCATTCATTTGTTCGTTCGTTCAGTCGATCATCTATTCTTTCTTCAAACTTTTATTTATTCATTCTCACAATCTGTCGTTTCTTTGTTCATTCATTCATTCACTGCACCATTCTTTCGCTGCTTCATTCATTCTTTCATTCATTCATTCCATCATTCATTCAAGTCTATTTGTTTCATTGTTATGTTCCTTCAAGCTTCATTCATTCATTCATTCAGTCAAATTTTTACAATCATTCAATCATCGTTATTGAGATTTTCGTTTGGCCGTGGTGTTAATCGTTTTATTATTGCTATTGCTATTAGTAGTAGTAGTAGTAGTAGTAGTAGTAGTAGTAGTAGTGGTAGTAGTAGTAGTGGTAGTAGTAGTAGTTGTAGTGGTAGCATCAGCAGTAATAATAGTAATAATAATAATATCATTATTATTACTATTATTCATTGAAGAAGATTGGCACTGTCATTTATGATGTTGATGAGACGTGGATGATGTGTGCGCGCTATTATTATTCTTATTATTATTATTTATTATTCTTATTATTATTATTTATAATATTCTTTAAACTAACATTTTTACGTACATACATGCATACAATAATGATGATGATCATTTATTGGGGAATTTCTTCCCTATAATTTACTTTGTAGTTCTAATGGTAGCATTTAAGTGGCCCGCAGACATACAAACAAACATACAGACAAACACGTACATACACGCATACATGCATTTATACATACATACATACATACATACATACATACATACGTACGTACGTACGTACATACAAACAAACATACATACATACATACGTACCTACAAACAAACAAACATACATACATACATACGTAGAATGACATGTACTTATTGATAACATTTGTGTGTGGGTTACCATGGAAACAACACACAGACAACAACAACATAATAATAATAATAACAATAATAATGATGAAGATGATGGCACTCGTAACAGATTTTAACTTTATTTATTATCAATGCTAACAAACATCACGATTCATCTATGTTATTATTTTTGATATTATTATTTTTATTATTATTATAATTCTTGTTTTTGTGGTTAATTGTTATTGTTATTTTTGTCATTATTATTTTATTGATCGCTTTTTTCAACAGTCCCATTTAAACCTAGCTATTTTAATTAATAGCTTTTATTTACTTACCGTAAATTGTATTATTATTATTATTATTATTATATTATCATCATTTTTATTATTATTATTCATGAATGTTTTATTATCTCTTGAAGTTCTCTTGTTATTTTATGACAAAGTGAGAAAGAGAAGGAGAGAGAGGAAGAGAGAGAGAGAGAGAGAGAGAAACAGAGAATAGATATTTATGAATATACATACACGTGTGTACGTGTATGTATGTGCTCTAATGGCATGTGTGGGTTTGTGTGTGTATATGTGTGCGTCTGTGTATGCGTTTGTGTGTGCGTATGTGTGTGTTTGTTTCTAATTACAGTTTAACTTTTTTAACATTATTTATGTAAGTCGCAACAAGACAACAACAAAGCTACTAACATTTATACTGCTAAAACTTTATTTACTACTACTACTACTACTTCTGTTGTTACAACAACAACAACAACAACTACTACTACTACTACTACTAAGATAATTAATTCGAATTAAATAATTATAATGATAAGAGAGCAGCACCCTCATTAAAAATTTGACACTAATGACATGACATTTATAAAAAACACGACACACACAACGTATGTGTTTGTGTGTTTGTTTGTGTGTGTGTGTTTGTGTGTATATATTTATAAGTGTGTGTGTTTGTGTGTGTATATAGGTGTGCGTGTATGTGTGTGCATGTCATCTTTCTGTTTAATATTGTTTTTGTGACCTTTGACATCTTCTACTTAGCTACTGTCACTATTATCATCATCGTCGTCTTCGTCGTTGTTTGTGGCGTCATCATTATCAGCACCACCACCATTATCATCATCATCATCATCATCATCATCATCATCATCATCCATCATCATCATCATCATCATCATCATCATCATCATCATTAGTTTCAGTGTGGTCCTTGACATCATCATTGACTAATGACACCTTCATCATCGTCAGCATCATTGGAACATCATCATCATTATTATCAGCTTCTTTTTGTCTTTCTTTTTCACTTTTTTTCATTCTTTCTCTCTCTCTTTTTCTCTCTCTTTTTCCCTCTCTCTTTCTCGTGAGAAACATGTCACACACATAAAATGCTAGTGTTCTAGCTGTTGGATAACAACACTGCAAAAGTAAATAAACCAGCCAACCAACCAGCCAGCCAATAATTTGTTAATAAAAATAATTAAATGAATAAATTAAAAGAATAAATTAAATGCAAATATTAATTCTAAAAGTGAGCTGGATTAAAAAGCGAAGGAAGACAAGACAGAACTGATTTAATCACAATTTTAGATCTGTTATTTTGGTATTGCGAAATATTTTGCCTCAGATATGCATAGTAAATAAGATTCCTATGATAGAGACGCACACACACGCATACACATACACGCACACACACTCTCACACACACACATATACAGATCTCATAAGATTTAATTAATAATAATAGATAAAGAATTCCATGAAATATCAACTCATCGATACACTCGACATAAAACTTTTAAACACTTAACTCTAATATAATAATAATAATAATATTATTATTATTATGAATAAATAAATCCCTAATTAAACAATATGGATAACAATCACACACACACACACACACACACACACACACACACACACACACACACACACACACACACACACACACACACACATGCAGGCAAGCTCAGGCACACACACACACACACACACGCACAAATTAACCACAGCATAGATTAAAAAATCCGTACCGACCATTCACTAAATTCTAAAAGATTCAATTTGATGGTGAAGACGACAACGACGATGATGATAATGATGAATAAGATGATGATTATGGTGATGATGATGATGATGATGATGATGATGATGATGATGATGATGATGGTGGTGGTGGCGGTGGTGTTGATTGTGATTGTGAACTACATATTTTATTTACCGACATTACGAAAATAGCTCGAAACTAATCTCAAACTCAAATACACTCAAACTGAATTAACGAAATTGATTGTTAATATTTATTCCTATCATTCTTCTCCTTTTTCTTACTATTATAATTATTATATAACCTTGACTTTTCTTTCTGACCATAATTATCAATCTACTTTTTTTTTTTCTTCTTCTTTTTTCTGACCATAATTATCAATCTTCTTCTTCGTCTTCTTCTTCTTCTCCTTCTTCTTCTTCTTCCTCTTCTTCTTCTTCTTCTTCGTCTTCTTCTTCTTCTCCTTCTTCTTCTTCTTCTTCCTCTTCTTCTTCTTCTTCTTCTTTTTCTTCTTCTTCTTCTTCTTCTTCTTCTTCTTCCTCTTGCCAACACATTCATATATTTATTAACCATTTTATAATAATCTTTTCATTAATTTTAAAACATCTTAATTTTCCAATCGTCCAGTCATTCTAGATGATAGGTCCCGGAATGCATTTCCAGGAGAACATTTTGAAAATTTTCAAACCCAACGACAACAGTCGCAGCCACAGCAGCCACCATTTTTACATCGTAAAAGTCAACTTGGTAGGCAGTCTTTGGTCAATCAACAACCGCACCTACAACTATACAGACAACAACATCAGCAACAACATCAACAACAACAACATCAACATCAACAACAACAACTTCAACATCAACAACAACAGCATCAGCAACAACAACATCAACAACAACAACAACTTCAGCAACAACAACAACAACAACGGCCACAAATTCAGTTGCGTAGCTATAAATCATTTATTAAAGACCAAGAAGAATTATTACATTCGAAATCATCATCATCGGCAGCAGCAACAAAAACATCATCATCAATAATTCTAGCAACATCATCATCAATGATTTCAACATCAGCGTCACCAAATATTTTAGTAAAAACATCAACACTACCAAAAACATCAACTACAACTCTCAGAGTTTCATCGCTAACCTCAACAAAAACATCCACAACAACAACATCATCATTATCAACAACAACAACATCATCATCATCAACAACAACATTATTGTTATCATCATTATCATCAACATCAGCTACAGCAACCACAACAAAATCATCATCATCATTGTTGAGTTCTAATTCCTTACATAGAAACCACACAATTATCGGTATGCCTCTGAGAGAACTTGACAACAACGCAGGTAATACATACATACATACATACATACATACATACATACATACATACATACATACATACATACATACATACATACATACATACATACATACATACATACATACATACATACATACATACATACATACATACATACACACATACATACATACATACACACATACATCTTTTTAAATTCTTTCCTCTAAACCAACTGTGTTTCTAATCGCTTTTGCTATCTTCATCTTGAAATTAAATTCGTCCTTCTAACAAGATGACACGGGGATTGTCGATAAGTTTGTTTATTTTTCCCACATACAAACACACATACCCAGAGCGCTACATAAATACAAAGACACACCTAATAATATATATTGTATTGTTTTGTATTGTACTTAATCGTCTGGTATTTTTACACATACAAACAAGTACCTAACACAAATTTTATATTCTTCATCTACGTATTTCTGTTATAGTCGTTGACTTATTTTTCGTTAATACGTCTATATATTCATCAAAATCCGGACAATTGTAAAAAAATTATTAACTTTGTAATAGTTTTTAATAAATTAAAAAAAATTATAAATAAATAAATATTATTATTCTTAAATTTGATTTAAATACACGTAAATGAAAATCAAAATATAAGTAATATTTTTATTATTATTTTATATTATTTTAGAAAACCAAAGGTTAAAATTTCTCGTCAAGATGACGAACGGTGAAACCGTACAACCTGTTAAAACCCACAACAATGGAACTTATGAAAGCAACAACATCAACATTAGCAACAACAACATCAACAACAACAACAGTTTCAACAACAGTTTCAACAACAACAGTTTCAACAACACAAGCCAACGAAAACCATCATTAAAACCATCAGAGTCATTGTCGGTTCAAAAAACTCCGACTAAATCACCGATCACGACTAGTCAGTCTCTGTTTAGTAGCCAAGAGCCGCCAAAATTTATCGTCGGACTTACCGACCATCACTATTCGCTTGGAGGTTCGATAACACTCCAGTGTATGCTATCCACCCAGCATCCAGCCATGATAACCTGGACGAAAGATTCGAAAATAATCTGGCCGGAATGTCGAAGAATCGAACAGGTATTCGACGGTAAGAAGGCGGTATTGAGAATCGATAAAGCGAATAGTTTCGATTTCGGTAGATACGAGTGTATTGCTAGAAGCAGTGCTGGAAAAACTACGTCAAGTTGCTCTGTTTTACTCGGTCGGTTATTATTATTATTATTGCTATTTTTGTTATTATTCTTAGTAGTAGTATTATTAGTAGTAGTAGCAAGAGCAGTTTAGTAGTCGTAGTAGTAGTAGTAGTAGTAGCAGTAGTAGAAGTAATAGTAGTTAGTGCTAATTGGTATGCAGTGTAATAAAAAATTTGCCATTACGTAAATTGCATTCCGTCATATTCCGTCATATTAAATCAGATGAACAATTATTTCGAATTTTTCATTCATTCATTTATTCATTCATTCATTCATTCATTCACTCTTTCAATCATCCGTCGATACAATCATCTATTCATTCATTCATCTACCTATCCATTCATTCATTATATCATTATAATATTACTAGCTATAATTATAATAATTATGATTGCCACATTCTAAAATAATAAACATTTCTTCCAGATGATAGACAGAAAGAAAGAATTTTAAAAAGTGAACTTTCTATTTCCGCTAAAGAAAATGATGCAGTTAATAGTAACTCAGACACGCCCAAATTGTCCGGATGCGATGATGATAATGATGAGGTAAATTATTATTATAATTATTGTTATTATACTTATAATGATAATGATAATTAAAATGATGATGATGATAATTTAAACTGTAATTTATAATTGGTTTAATTATACATCAATTAATTTTTATTTGTTAAATAAATGAATGGATGAATGAATGAATGAATGAATGAATAAAAAGTAATAAAGTAGTAGTAGTTGTTGTAGTAGTAGTAGTAGAGGTAGTAGTAGTAGTTGTAGTAAGTAGTAGTAGCATTGAAATCTTATTTATATTGATGACCTTATTGATATCATTGTTGTTCAGTTCAGAACCATTTAATAGTGTCGTTTGTGTCACTCATTCATTTTTTTATTCATTCATTCATTCATTCATTCACTCATTATTAATTAAAACATAACCGTTGAAATATAGCAAATAATGTAAAACATAAATGTCACACGATATTTTTTCCTCTTACTTTCTCTATATCTTGCTCTTTCTTCATTTTCTTTCTTTTCTCTCCTATCTTTCTCTCTCTCTCTCTCTCTCTCTCTCTCTCTCTCTCTCTCTCTCTCTCTCTCTATCGCAATCACACGGTATCTAATAGTTGTTAACTTACATGGCCTTTACGTGATAAGATACGCCCAAATGTTACAATGATATTAACAACAACAAAATAAATGTACATAAATGTATTTTTACGTGTGTGTGTGTGCGTGTGTGTGTTCATGTGTGTCTGTTTGTGTGTATGTGTGTGTTCATGTGTGTCTGTTTGTGTGGGTGTCATGTTCATGTGTGTGTGTTCATGTGTATTCATGTGTGCGTGTGTTTGTGTGTGTGTGTGCGTGTGTGTGTGTTGTTTTGATTACTAATCTATCATCTTAGTCGCTGCACATCTTAGTATTTATAATTCGAGAAATACGTGTCGATTCATCTATCTGCTCAATGTTTTCTGTGTGTCTGTATACTATTACATTTTCTGTAAAGTATTAAGGTGGTATTTTGGGGTATTATTTGGATTCAAGTGGTATAAATTGCTATGACTTCTGGTCCTCTTATAAGAATATCTCCAACTACCACATGCAATGCTTGCGATAGGCTGTGTGTGCGTGCGTGTGTGTGCGTGTGTGTGTGTGTGGGTGGGTGTTCATACGTCATAAACAATAAACAAATAATAATAATTATTATTATTATAGCTAAAAAGAATAATAATAATTTCATGTTGTTTTAACTGGTTTTTTTCAACACCTTGTTCTTTGTGGTTTTCTTTTCGAAAAGTCATTTAGATGATTGTTGTTTTTTATTTTTTTTTGTAGTTTTAGTAATGATGCGGTAATTTTTTTGAGGAGTTTTTTGAGTCTTTTTGGGGTACATTTATAAACTTTAAATACATCACCAAACTAGTTTTTCATTCTGTCTGTGTTACAATTAAAGTTATTATTGTTCTTTCCTCCGTTGAATATTATTATTATTATCATTATTATTATCATCATTATTATATTATTATTATTTATTATTATTATTATTATTCAAGGATTTTGTCTTTTATTTATTACTCAAACAACAACAACAACAATTCAACTCGTGCTTTCTACAGTCTGTTTCTTTTTCCATCATTTTGTTTGCTTGCATGTGTGCGTGTGCGTGTATGTATGTACGTGTGTTATATACATACATACATACATACATCCATCCATACAAACAAACAAAATTCTTTGTTTCACAACCCATACAGTTTGCTATATGTTATGATTATGTTATCTTCCAAACAGATGAATTAAGTTTTAGGTGAATACACACACACACATTCACACACACACAAACATATATATATATATATATATATATATATATGTGTGTGTGTGTGTGTGTGTGTGTGTGTGTGTACATGTATATATATATATACATACATACAACATACATACATACATACAAAGGCATTTATACATAATTTCACGTTTATATTCCTTGTATATAAGTTTTTTGGTTTAGGAATTGAATGCGCGAATGTATGTATGTGTATATATGCATGTATACATATAAAATGTATATTGATATGTACATATGTTTGTATGTATGTGTGTATGTATGTACGTATGTTTGTATGTATGTATGTCTGTATGTATGTATGAACGCGCAAATGCTGGAAGCATGCTTCAGTTTTTAAATCGTATTTCTTGAGGAGCCAAACGATGTTGTATCACTAGAATCGTTATTATTACTGTTATTGTTGTTGTCGGTTTTGTTGTTGTTGATGATGATGATGATGATGATGATGATGATGATGATGTTGATGTTGATGGTGATGATGACGACGATTATGATGCTGGCTAATTTGGTTAAACTTTAACTCGTTTGCGTTTAGTAAAATTATGGATTAACTGAACTAACCAAATGATCTATCCATATCCAACCTGACAGATGGAGCTGATTAATAGGATTAATTCATCTGTCGATGAAGAATTCCTTATCAATACTGTGAGTTCGTTCGTTCGTTCGTTCGTTCGTTCGTTCGTTCGTTCCTTCATTCGTTCATTCATTCATTTATTTGTTTTATATTTTATTTATTTATTTACACACTTACTATCATATATACTTTCGTTCGTTTGTTCACACATTCACTATTCATTCATTCATTCATTCATTCATTCATTCATTCATTCGCTTGTTCATTCAAACATTTATTTATCTTTAAAATTGTATCACATTCTTATGCCTAGCTGACTAGATGTTCAAAATTGGAGCTAAGAAAGTTGATAAGGCAGAGACTGGCTTTTATAAGAAACAACAACATCATCAACAGCAGCAGCAACAACAACAACAGTAAAAATGACGTCACAAACATCAACCATGACGTCAACAACAACAACAGCAGCAAAAACAACATCAAAGATAACAATATTACCGAAATTTCCAAATCTATGAATGGTTGCAGCAACAACAACAAAATTATCAACAACATCCCTAACAACAACAATAATAATTATAACAATAATAATAATAATAATGACATTGTTTCGCGTAGAGATGCAATCAAGAGAAGAATTGAACTTGCCTTAAGCAGAAATAGACCTCTTGAAACAGGTATGATGATGGTGATGATGATAACGATGCTGATGTTTATGATGATGATAAAAATGGTGGGGTTATGATGATGATGATGTTGTTGTTGCTACGGACAGATGATAAAACCAGGGACCAGCCCCAACAACTACAATCAATGACACCCCTCCAGACCAAAAGCACTTCCATACTTTACAACGGTGCTTTAATCATTAATCTTTGTTAAATATATTTATTATTATTATTGTTGTTGTTGTTGTTATTGCTGTTGTTATTTATTATTATTATTAATAATAAATAACATTATTTATTATTTATTATTATTTATCTGCATTATTTATTATTACTATTAATAAAATAGTAGCATTAGTAGTAGTAGTAGTAGTAGTAGTAGTAGTAGTAGTAGTAGTAGTTGTTGTTGTTGTTGTTGTAGAAGTAGTAGCAGTAGAAGTAGTAGTAGAAGTGGTAGTAGTAGAAACAATAGTAGTACTAGTAGTTGTTGTTGTTGTTGTAGAAGTAGTAGTATAGTAGAAGTAGCAGTAGTAGTAGTAGTAGTAGCAGTAGTAGTAGCAGTATTTCAATTTTTATTATTAATTACATACAGATCGAAACAGCATTACATTTCGAAACCAAGTGGAGACATCGCTCGTTGAACGTAGTAGCAGGGGAAGTAGAGATAATTTGGAGAACATTAATACCTCCATAAATCCAGGTATTTTGTGATTATTATTATTATTATTTATTGTTGTTTTTGTTGTTGTGGTTGTTGTTGTTGAGGTTGTTGTTGTTGCTGTTACTATTACTACAATTAGCGGTTATAACAACAACAACTATAGCTGTAGTAGATTAATTTATTAAACTAGTTTTTTTTATCGCACCCAACTGCTACTATTACTACTACTCCTACTACAACTCCTATCACTACTACTACTATTTTTATTATTGTAGTTGTTATTATTTTTATTATTATTCATATCTTCAGATCACCTTGCAACCAAGTTCGCCAACATTCTTAGAGAAAACGCTCGAGAGGCTGTCAGTGGCGTCGTCACTGTCGTCACCACCATCAACCACAACAATAACAACAACAACAATAATAATAATAATAATAATAATAACAAAAATAATAATATTAATAGTAGTAGTAGTAACCGGAATATTATCGATACTGCAGACAAAACCTCCTCTGCATTTATGAACCTAAAAAATGACGCTGCCACGACAGCTACTACCTCTACTACTACTACTACTACTACTACCTCTACTACTACTACTACTACTACTACCTCTACTACTACTACTACTACTACTACCTCTACTACTACTACTACTACTACTACTTTTAACAACAACAACATTAATAATAAAAATAATAATAATGTCGATAGAGTTAACTCGTCCAAAAGCGTATCCTGGGCCGGTTTGTTGATTTTATTATTTTCATTTGTTTTTTTATTATTATTTTTATTTGTTTACCATTATTGTTATTGTCGTTGTTGTTGTTGCCCCGGGTCTGGAGCCAGTTGACAACAGCAACTGCGTTTCGCCGGAGATCTATTACCGTGAGATGTGTAGGGTTGTTCGGACAGCTAAATAGATGGTTAACCTTGTCGGGATGATTGCGACAGTTACTGCTAACTTTACTGTCGATTCTTGCTTTGTAGCTGTTAAGAGAGATGCAGTGACCTAAGCAGAGTTGGGCCAGCAATTTTCTCATTTCTCTGGGCAAACTCTCTTCTGCTTTTTCTATTTTAGAAGTCTGGGGTGGCCCTGGCCATCCGTTAAGCAGTGAAACAGCATGATATGACTCAGGGGCGAATTTCGCGGCCCTTCTGTGTAAAGTAGTTGATGCTGCCCTTAGCGTATCGACTTCTGTTGTTGTTGTTGTCGTTGTTGTTGTTCATCATTATTGTGTATTATTATTATTATTATTATTATTATTATTATTATTTCCCCCAAAGGTTACAATAGAAATAATTCACTGACAGAAGAAACGACGAAATCTTCTGAGTGAGATATCTTTTTCTCTAAAATTCATCGGAATAAAATTAAGTTTAACTCTGTAAAAAGTCATAAAACTCATGATAAGAATTCTTATTTTGTTGAATTTTTGGTAATTTTTTATTATTATTTTAGGAAATTAATATTTTTAATGATCGTTAACCTGAATCAAGCCATAGATCACCAAGTGTTTAGCTATATAAATCATTTTACACGACAGGTACGTTACCAAGAAGACAGTTAACAGCAACTATCGTAACAGTAGCTACCACTCTAGCAACAACAGC